CACCCCCACCCATTACCAAAGTTTCATTCGCAAGATTCAAACCGCAAGATTCTTAGTCTCATAACCATGCTGATTTTGTTGTGCCCAATTACAACCTTCACAACCTCAGATGAATTTTGTCGTCACGGCATACAGGTGTACCTCCATATAAAACGGCAGGCCGATTTTAATCAGGCCAACCACTTGGATCAAGCCAACCACTTGGATCAAGCGAACTTGCACTCCGTCCAGAGTCTCTACCCACGACCAATTGTGCGTGAGAAGTTCGGAAGGCTAACCAGAAAACCTTACGTGCTAGACCGGGCGGTCGAGTTTAATCTAAGCAATGAGAAACACTTGGTCGCAGCTGCGTTTTGTCAACGGCCTGTTGGAGTCGACTTGGTAGTTACCTCTCTACCCAAAACCAGAAAGTACACTTCCGCACACTTCTGCACAAAACCAGAAAGTACACTTCCGCACACTTCTGCACACTCTTGTTGGTTTTGTAGCGAAAGCGACTTCCTATCTCGGATGAGAGGCCCGATGTCTGAGGGCGAGTTGAAGCTATTGGATACTGCCTTATTGGAACTGGCGGGTGGGAATCGTCTTAGTGCGTTCAAACTTTATTGGTCTCTAAAGGAGTCATTCATTAAGTACCATGGAACCGGCCTCAGCTTGGGTTTGAGAACTTTTGAGCTAGTTCCTTGTCCAATCGGCAACGATATACGCGCAGACAAAGAAAACCAGGAATGGCCCCAGATAAAGTGTGTCGACTTTGAGTCGAAGGCTGACCAAATATACCACAAGGATGATATTAGTATACTGCCTTTGGATGTCTACATCTTGAGTGAAGAACCGAAGTTTATTGCGGGGATTCCTGTGCGTAAAGGGAGCCAGCATGTTTCCTTTTTTACTAGTCTCCTTCGATGGAATGGTGAGGAATTCTGGTTGACGATTTGCACCAAAAGGAGTTGTTCCAAGGTAGAGATAACTAGTAAGCTAGGAGAGCTGGATACCAGTAAGCTAGGAGAGTTGGATACCAGTAAGCTAGGAGAGTTGGATACCAGTAAGCTAGGAGAGCTGGATACCAGTAAGCTAGGAGAGCTGGATACCAGTAAGCTAGGAGAGCTGGCTACCAGTAAGCTAGGAGAGCTGGATACCAGTAAGCTAGGAGAGCTGGATGATGGTGGTATTTGCGTGCAATGCAAGCTTGGCAAGAAACAAGTGTGTTGGAAATTTTGTGAAAAAATAATGCTTGCTAACGAACGAGATCAGAAGACAGAGGGCCCCCAAGTGAGCGGCCGGGTATTGTAGCGATCTGTGTTGTGGAGGAGCCCCTCACGGATGTACCTTAAGTTGTTGACTGACTTGTTCATGACTTGTTGTGCGGGCCAGCATTTTCCAGGCAGCCGTGTTGACACACACGTGTGTATGTTGACACGGCTGCCATAGGTAATCGGTGGGGGCTCCCTCCGGCGCTGTCTCACTGGCGTGCACACCGCCGGAGACAGGGCCCCCGCCTCCGGCGGTGCCAAGGTTACTTGTAAAGTCGTCGGATGATGCGACCAAGTTGGTTCTGTTTCAGAGGGTCTTTGAAACATCGTAGTCCATCAACCCCATTAGTCTTGGCCCAGCGGTACCCCTCAGCCGTGGTTGGCCTGAGTTTGGGGAAGTAGGATGTAGGAGATCTGGAGGACAACATGTCCGCCAGATCGTATAAGTACTTCCTCAACCAGGCCTCATTTAAAGGGTCCGCTGGGGCGGAGGAGTCGGCCTCCACTCTTGCTCCATCTACTCCTCCGCGGTCTCGGAACTGTCCATCTCGGAATTGACTATCACGACCTGTGTAACCATTTCTATCAGCTCGAGCACTTCGGAACTTGGCCGCATCGGGGCCGGTTTGGCCGGCGAATTGCCCGTTGTTTTCGAAGCCGCGTCTGTCTTCTTGAAAGGGAAACCGGAAGGCCTTTGCTTGTGGGGTGGTTCTAGACCACTGTGGTGTGGGCTTCGACTGCGACGTCTGTCTTGAGGAGGGCGGGGGTTGCCCCGTTGGTGGAAAGGACGCCGTTTTGGTGGGTGTCGCAGGTGTGGCCCGTCTGCCGGTGCCGGGTGTACCGGCGGTTGTATAGAAAGTGGCATCAGCGCTGTGTGGTCTTGCAGCATACAAAACCTTCTGCAACGCCGTTGCGGGATAGATGTGGTGGCTGGGGTCATCGCTGACCCCTATTACAGCAGCTGCCGTGTCCTCCTCGAGTCCCAGATCTTCTTTAAAAGTTTCTTTCATCGCCTTAACCGAATAGGCGGCCCGACCGTACGGGTCCGTCCAACTTCGGTTTAAACGACGACTATTGTCGTAGGCTTCGCGCTGCAAGTCATCCAGACCCACTCCAGCGGAGAGGGCCAAACGACTCGAAGAACTAGTCCTCCTAATCGGCTCCACCAACGTACCCAGGGGCTGTCCCTGAGAGTCCGTCGGTAGTACACCGCTCATCTGTTCATGTAACATCCTCATCTTCAATCGCCGCGACTGCAAAACCGCCTGCAACGACAATAATAGCTTATGTCGCCGACGGTCTTCGTCACGATCGATCTCATCCCAACGGTCCGTACGACCTCCACCGCTCATCAATAGTTCACTGCGCACTCGACGTAAGTAAACAGAACGATCTTGGAAACCATAGAACCGTCCGTCCCTCCAGTCCCATTCCTGCGCTGCTCCTAGTTGAACCTCCGCATCGCCTTCGCGATCTTGTCTCAGAAAAATATCCACTGGTGTTGGCATAATGTGCAATGCATGCAAGGTTAACCAAATGCCAAGAACCTCGCACATTTTCCGACAAGACCACTAACTAAAACATACCATGGGAACCCATCGGAACCCATTCAGTCATCGGAGAAGCGGCACCTTCAACCGTGAAGGCGTAAGCAAACTTAGACCCAGTCGTAAATTGGATAGGGATAGTCCGTAAGCGCCGGGGACAAGGCGGGCGACGAGTGACACCAACTGGGCGTAAGTGGAGCCGTAACTAGGGACGGGATAGGATTAGATGGAATCGCCAAAACGTAAGTGGGGCCGTAACTAGGGACGGGATAGGACTAGATGGCATCGCCAAAACGTAAGTGGGGTCTTAAGTAGGGACGGGATAGGACTAGATGGCATCGCCAAAACGTAAGTGGGGCCCTAAGTAGGGACGGGATAGGACTAGATGGCATCGCCAAACGTAAGTGGGGCCTTAAGTA